CACTACATGGGATTGGGGAGGGGATACAAGCAATAGAAACCAACATGTACAATAAAGACGTTTTCTTGAATACCGGATCCTGCCTCTCGCATCCTTCCTTTTCACTTCTCTGGCCCCACTCTGTGGAGGCAGGGAGCTGCTCTCTGTATTGCCCTGTGCAGAGGTGGGGAAGAAGCCCCGGGCAGAGGGTGCGCGTGGCAGGCTGCTGCGCAGGCTGCTGTGCATCTGTGCCTGAGCAGCCACCGTTGAGATCTCACCTGCCTGGGTGCAGCCACTCCAGGCTTCGAGGCGTTTGTGCAGAACAGGGACAGGCACCCATCTGGAGGCCACTTCGGACTGGCCCTGCCATTGTGGACGTTAATAGAGGAGGCCAGAGGAGCCAAAGCCAGCTTTGAAGGAACTGCTGCACCACAGGTGAGCTAAAAGGAGCGGCTCTTAGCCCGGGTCCCGGCCCCACGCTCAGCTGGCTCGTGCCAGCTGCCTGGCTGGGGAGGTTGCTGTCCTGTGGACAAGGTGCTTCGTATTCCCAGAGAGGGTGCTGTGCTGGGGCCGTCTGCCGCTCTATGCACCTTCACCCTACCCCAGAGAAAGAGCAGGGCAAAGATGCTGATGGTGTTGGAGACAGCTGGGAAAAGCCCAGCCCAAGGCACAGGGGCTTTAGAAGCAGACTGATTTACACCTTTCCCTGCCGTTAAATTCTAATTTGGTCTCCCTGGGACTCCCAATCTCCAGTGCTGTTGACAGCTTTCCCCTGCAGTGGAAATGAAAACCAGATGAGAAACATTCTCCTTTACCTCCAGCTGCCACATGCATCTTGCCTGGGGGCAGGTGTTGCCTGGGGGCAGGCGTAGCTGGTTGGCCCCATTCAGCAGCGGGGGGGCTCTGCAGCAGATCAGATCTGCCTTCACTAGCTGCTGCCGGTCACTGCTGCCTGTGGGGGAAATACTAAGCCCATTTCACGGTGGTGGGGGTGCAGGGAGTGAAAAAGAGCAATGCGAAGCTGCATGGCCACATCCCACGGGGCCTGAAAGGGAACTTTCCCGTGTGTGTGTACTGCAAGCCCTGCAGTTAAGCCACGGTGCTGTACAGTAGGCATGCCAGACTTGGCTATAGCCCTGCCGTGTCCTCTTTCTTGCTGCTCTCTAGGCTCTTGCTTCTGTTTCGGGCTTCTATAAATAACTACCGTGCTGTAAAAGTCTTTCCAAAGCCTGGAGCCTAACCGCTTCCCCACCCAGTTTGGGCCCTCCTGGAAGCAGAGCAATGGGGGTCCGGGAGGGCAGTTTGCCCTGCAAGCCCGTGTGCCCAGCACGTGAAGAGAGGGAGCCGTCCCCAGCCGCCAGTCACACCTGGCCCTGCCAGCCGTGGTGGTGTCACTGGTGTCCCGGTGAGCAAGATGATGCATATTTGCAGGACCTGCAATAACAGCAGGGGAGAGGCAGTTTTATCACTATTTTGAGCTGTAAGGTTTTATTTAGAACAAACCTGTTGGAGGAACAGCACATTTCTGGTCACAGTGCTGACCATGTCAACCATGGATCTTCAGAGGAATCATACTTTTCCTGAATAAAACACAGTTGTTGCTCTTTGCTGTAATTTTTGGTCTCTGCCAGGAGGTGCTGGGATGTGGCTTTGCTGTTGGATAGTTGTTTCACAGCTGTGCAGAGAGAACAGAGCTTGCAGAAGCACCCTGCCATAAAAGTTACGGAGTTTCTGATCGGGGCCCCCTGGAGGGGTGTCCTGTTGCTTTTGCTCGGCCATGAAGGGTTAATGGATTATACAAGACAGAAAGGGGAGGGGGATAAAGAGGCTGTTTTTAAATGTCAAAGATGTGGAGGCCTTTTAGAAATTTTATGGCATGTCTTTATCAGCAACCCTCTCTGGGCAAGTGTTGCCTGACTGTACAATTACCTCTTTGGGGATATGTTGATTTTGTTACTGCAGGGTGACTTCAATTCCAAGACAAGGCAGACGCAAATAGAGAGAGCCTAACAAATCCAGTATGTCTGTAAGACCTCACATAGCAAATCCCAGTTTGATTCAAACAGATTTTCTAGGAAAACATCCTCTCCTGGTTTTAAAAAATCCCTTGTTGAAGAAGCCATCACAGCCCTCTGGAAGTTGTTCCGGTAAGAAATAACCTTTCCTGTTAAAAATGCATGCCTTGTTCCTAGGTTCAACTTGTCCCGCTTCACTTTCTCTCCATCTCTTCTTGTTACCTCTTTGCCAGCCGGCTGTCGCAGGTCTGTTCTCCGTGCAGGCGCTTCCAGCCTCACTGCATCCCTGTAGCCTCTCTGCTACCGTAGCAAGATGGAGCTGCTGGGCTGTCCAGACTGGAAACAGTCTGGAGGCAAAACCTGCTCCCTGGAGCAGCCGGCAGAAACGCTCTTCCCAGAGAACGGTCCCTGTTCACAGTTGCTGTTGGCTCTCCCTGGCTGGCCAGTCTGTAACAGATTTGTGGCTCTTACAGTCTTTGTGGTGTTTCAGAGTCTTACTAGAAAGTTGCGTAGATGTGTCACATCACGTGCTTTATAGTAATTTCTTAGATCAGCACTAATATTAACTAAATCTGATTTTTTTTTTCAAATGTGGTAGCAATTAAATTAGTTTGACAAGATCTAATTTCCATAACTCTGAGTTGATTTGTATTAATTATATTCTCCTTCAATTCTTAAAGTTAATCAAACTCCCTAACAGCTGTTACATCATTTTCCTAGGAATCAGTGTCAACTGACAAACCCATAATTAGCGGGATGGTCTTCTTTACCCATTGAACTATTGGTATCCCCATTAACTTACGCAATTTCTTTGCAAATTCCATGGTCCTGCAAGACTTACCGCAAATGAACAGCAGCGATCCAAGACTTTTGTTGTTCAGGTCTTGTAAAACTCTTGGTTATGAATTCTCTGGACCTTCTGATCCAGACCATCTAAGTTTTGTGTTTGCTTTTTAACAGCCACCTGCAGTACCAAGGAATGACGAGGCTTTTGTCATTTCCTATGACTCTACTGCCTGTTTTTTTCAATCCATAGAACAGAAATATTTATTCTGCACCTACCTTTTGTATTGTCATTAACTACTCAGTATTATTATTTCTATTTCCCCACAGTAAGGGACTCATATCATGGTCAGGAATCTTTGGTTTGCCTCCTTCTAAAACATTTCTTCTAAAAATATCCCTTTAGTTTTGCTGGTCATACACATCTCCTTTTGGCCTTTGCTTCCTTTATCAATTTTCCATAATTCCCAGATTTCAATATACATTAGCTTTCCCCTGTTTGTTTGTTATATTTTTATACTGTTTGTTTCACTTCACCTCTAATCCAGGCTGGTTCTTTTTAACTAATACAACTGTTCCGAGTGCAGCCTTTTGAGCACCTCCTCGGAGAATGCTTAAACAATAATCGCCGACACGATCTTTCTGCATCCTTTTTTCTTCTGGCTGAACTGAACAGTCATCGATTTCCTTTTGGAAAAACGCTCCAGATGCATTTATTAGGGGCTCCAGCTTCGTCCTGTTTGCTGGTAAGAAATGTTAGTGTGCTGCGGTCGCTCACTGCCTCTAAGCACCGCCGGGTTTTTAATTCTGCGGTTAATTCCTCTTTACGGGGAAAATGAGGTCGAAGACTGGATTCGCCCACCTTGAGGGCAGCGTTTTGTTAATGGGGAAATCCCCAAGCTCGAAACACTTCTCGTAAGAGGAGACGGGACCCGGCAAAGAGAGAAGAGGCTCTCGGGGAGGCGGCAGGGACCCCGCCCGCCTGGCAGCCCGCAGCCGGGCTCGCCCGGGAGCCCTC